TGTGTGTTCAGGCATTTGGGTGAAGCTTGATCATTTCTTTGGAATTTTGCTAAGTTTTTAGCTTGCACTCTGATTGTCTATTATATGTTAAGTTTTCAATGTTTTTGTTATACGCCCAACAAGAGGCGGGGTTTGTATATGTTTATGTAAATATTTATCATTTGAGGCACTGTTGGTGATCCTGGCATGACAGTGGTCGCTTAATGGATATAGTTCTTTTTATTTCATGTTATTTTATTATTACTTAATGCTTCCGTTCAGGCCCCGTATGTAATGTATACCAGGTTAAGTGTCCGTTTTTTAGTGGGTCATGCCCAAACTTTTAGGGGTGAGTTTGGGGCGTGACACTACATTATGCCCATGAGTTAAGCTTAGTCCATCAAATCTACATATTTTTATGAGAGGAATGAAGAATGAAAAAGCGGCATCTTACAATACAAGTGTGTTTTCTTGATGGATGAATATCAATGGAGTGTACAATCCCAGAAGTAGTTCCATGAGCCCTGCAACATTATCAATATGAAGAATCACATCTTATCACAACAAAAAACAAACCATGAAAAAAAAAAAAAAAACCGCTTCTACTCAGATGGACAAAGTTGAACCCAACTGTCAAAATATGCAGTTAAGATAGTGCAAACAGAACAAAAATAAACACTGAATTTAGAAGCATAATAGAAACTCATCTAAGAAAATGACATATACCACTTAAGAACACATTAAGCTTCAAGAAATTCCAACATTGGTATGTTCAAATTATGAACAAATTATGCACTCCTGATGATCCTTGCATGTGAAGCGTATCACCATCCATCTTTTCTCTTTTGTTTATTTTCCCGAAATCATAACTTTATTTAATAAGAAGCAAATTTTATCAGAACATATAGGAAATAGGTCCCCTTAACACATTAGTGCACAAAAAAACAACTGATTTCAGTTCAAATGAATAATATCATGGCTCCAAAAAAAAAAAAAAAAAAGTCTGAAAAGAAATAGAAATAAATAAATAAAGAACCAGAGTGGAGAACAAAACAATTCTCATAACGAGCCCATGTTCAAAAAGGGGGAGAATGAAATCTCACTAAAATGCGCTAATTAGAGGATTTAACCTCGTGTACTGGCCTCCAAAACTCTACCAGACATGAAAACGTGATCAATAGGTGACGACTGCTAAATTAGCTGAAACCTTCAAGTATATAAAATCACAGAACTCTTTGTACTCTCAAATATTACTTGCCAGCAAGTTACACTTACAGCTAGATTGAACTAACCTAAAGCTCAAGCGATCACCCTTTAAAGCCAACAACATAAGCTCTAAACATTTCCAACCATTATCTAGAACACACCTTTAAACCCACCTCATATTGATAAAAGTACGTAACTACACACCTTTAAGGTGTGTCAAGATGGGATCCAGATCCTCTCCAACACTTTCTTCATGCAACCATCATCTGACACTTTATCCAAATACCACAAGTGATAGTGACTTGCTATTGAATTGTGGCATTTGGATAAGTATTGAATGATGATTGTATAAAGTAAGTGTTGAAACTGGAAAAGATCTTCCCCCAAGACGTACCCAAAATAAAGGTTCATTTTCGTATGGGGTAGGCAACTAATAGGCATGATAAATTTATGACATCTCCAGAATCCAAAGCCAAATTGAACTAGCACTTGAAAAATTTGGACTAAATTGCAGTTTTCACTAGTAAAAGATAAAAGACAATAGTAGAGCAACCCATGCAATCTGCACATGACTCTCACTGAAATATATTTCAAATTGACATTCCTTTCTAATTTTTAATTTAATATTTATCTTTACTTTTCAAAAAATGTGAAGATTCCCCAACCCTATCTCATGTTTTGACTCCTCTGCCTTCTTAATTTTATACTATTTTTGACCCATTTAGTTTTACTTATAAATAGGAGAAAAAGAATTAAAAACACAACCGAGATTGCTCCATACAAGGATTGTAGGCCTTATACTAAAATTTTGATGAACGGAAAATTGAAAACTAGCTGCCTAGTAATATCCAGACTAATCAATGGGAACCATGCAATTGTAGGGAATCACAAGCAGAAAAGAGCCCCAACATAAATAATCATCCATCTCTGTTTAAATCTTTCCAAAAGGGAACAAGGATTAGGGATCTTGTCTCTCTTCCAAGCAGAAAAGGGTAGTCACTTACTGTCACGACCCAAACCCGCCCCTGTAGGTTAGGTATCGCAACCGGCCAGTAATCCGTGGATTACCAAAGGCCTTTGAATAGATAAGCATATGATAAGGGGCTGCGGAAGCAATAATACAAAATAGACAAGGTCCAATGAGTTGTGGTAACGTATATGAGACAGTAGATTTCAAAACTTATATATATACATAAGTATGTTGGTCAAAGATACCATATATACAAAACATTTACAAGAGTGTAATTCCCAAGATCTGACTTTACAAACAGACAAAGACCAGCATAAGTACAAAAACAGCCATAAAACTGAACTTCAATCGGAACCTCCTCGGGAGGCACAACGGTTGGCTGACAAAAACAGAAACGAAGGCCATCAACTCTGGCCCTGGTCACGCGCCGGCTCACCTACATATATAATAAAAACTGTGAGCGAAAGCCCAGTGAATAATAACAGAGTAAAGGGGTTTCAATGAATGAGTCCGTACAGATTCAGAAATCATAATTCAGACTTGTATCAATTCATATTTTGTCCAGATCATATACAGAAATCATAGGGTATGCTTAAGTTTACGTGATACATCCATTAGCATTAACAGAGCAGATACAGAACAGATGCAGACACGTGAGGGTCACGAAAGACCAGTTCCATAAAGTAACCTCCGGATTCGGGTAACAGAGCAGAGATACTCTGAGCCCCCATGATGGGGCCTCCGGTACGGGTAACAGAGTGTTGACAGATTTAAGTTCCATAAAGGAACCTCCGATACCGGGTATAGCCAACAGCTATCACATGATGCTAAGGATGTCACGAATACATAACAGAAATTGGACAATTATTCATTGTACAGAACATAGCACATCGGAAAACAGATTTTATTTTATCATATAGGAAATAAATACAGTTGAACATAACTTTACTAAGTTATTACTCACAGTTGGCCTTGAAACAGACAGACGGAGCAGATTGGTTAAACGATACGCGGCACGTGACCTACATGGCACATAACAAATACATACTTGAAACACACGTTCGAATTGTATATAACTTATGTTGCTTGCTCTAAGTGTGTCTATAACCTTTAATCCTCATTATGGCGTCTTAAACATGGCCTACAAATGCCTAGGATGGAATGAGGATGCAAGAATGCATTGGAAAACATTTCTCAAAATTTGCTGAAAATAAGGTCCACGCTTGAGCGTAGCTTTCTTCGCTCGAGCGGACATGCAGACAATGAATCCCCGCTCGAGCGTGACTTTCCTCGCTCAAGCGAACTGTAAACTCTTGAAAAAAGTGCTGGATGCATGATTTTCACTCTCGACGGACACTCAACCTCCGCTTGAGCGTGAGACTCAGACCCTCGCTCGAGCGTGGATTGCCTCGCTCGAGCGGACTGTAAAACACAAGAACTTCTGGGTATATGCATTTCACACTCGAGCGTAAACTTCGTCACTCGAGCGGAGGTGCATGTACTCAGAATGCACGCTTCTACGCTCGAGCGTAGAGTTCTACGCTCGAGCGTGGATCAAATTTCTGGAATTTCCAGTTTTGATCACCAAGCTCAAATTTGACCTTTGAAGCATCAAACTCAATTTTTTTGGGCCAAAACTTTGGAAAACAATAACTCATGAAACAACATGTTTAAAGCATCAATTCAAGAAATCCTGGCCCAAGAGCAACCCAATTGTACAAAAACTCAACATGAAGTTCAAGAATAATTTATGAACACAACATGCATGAACTTTTCTTGAATCAAACACTCCCAAAACATAATCAAACTTGGTAATTTAATGGAAAACATGATGACCAAAATGTGAGTGAGGTTAACACATGCATGAAAGAAACCTTTGAAACCATGCTCAATTTGCAAAAAAAAATGTACATGCATGCGTGGTATGGTTCAATCCTAGCACAATTCCCATTTAAATTCACTTAATTCACCAATGATCTTGTAGAATCTAAGTTAATTACTCAATTAAGAGTTTAGTCCCTTACCTAGAAGCTTCAATCTACAAAATTAAGGTTAAGGCTCTACAATTCTCCTTCAATTATCAACAATTTTTTTGTACTTCCTTCAGTTGAGCTAAATCCCCAATTCTTGAACCAAATCCCTCCACTCTTACCCTCCCTCACGATTTCTTCCTCTCAAAGCTCAAGTGTGATCAAAAAAATGAATGAAAGAGGTGAGTGGGGTTCAATTAGCCTAATAAGTAGTGATTGGTCAAAAATAAGCAGATGACATTATTTTAATCAAATTTAATCGTTCCGAATCGAATTTTAATTAAACCTACCATAAAATTATATAAATCCTGATTAGCACATAAATCGAGTCAATTTTCGATTCGGACGCCGATAAGGCTTTCAATTCGTAAACCGAAACTAAAACGTGAACAGATCTTTCTACGTCTAACAGATATAAACACCACAATGCAACACACATGTGCATTTTAATTCAGAATTTTGCCTTAATTACTAATTAGGCATAATTAATCATGGGTTAACGTTAATTAGAGGTCAGGGTTATTACACTTACATATTTGGGTTTAATTTTTTAGGGATAAAAGTGATTTTCTCAAAATGTAAAATTACACATTTAGGCAATTTGAATTATAGAAGTTTTGGATTTTTCCTCATTCTAGAACAAATCTCACATTATTAAAAAAAACCTAATACTCTAATGTAGCACTCTAATAACTTAGCACTTCAATGTAACACATAAAAAGCTCATTGGTATATTTTTCCTAAATGTAACAACGTAACACTCAAAAAAAATTCTTTGGTGTATTTTTTCCAAACATAATGCTCCAATGTAAAAACTATATATATATATATATATATAATTGTTAGTGTACTTTTTCCAAGCGTAACACTTCAATCAGTGTAATTCCAAACGTAGCACTCTAATGTAACATACTCTAATGTAACACACAAAAACACTAAAAAAACTCCTTAGTGTACTTTTTTTTTTCAAACGTAACACTCACAGTTTGAAATTATACATTTGTTCAAAACTTACTAAGGAAGATTTGTACTCATTTTGGAATGGTTTGAAGAATATCACATTACTTTTTTATTTTTTCTTTTTAGTGTTACATTGGGGTGTTATGTTTAGAAAAAATACACTAAGAAATCTTTTTTTTGTGTTACATTGGAGTATTACGTTTGGAAAAAATACACCAAAGAAATTTTTTGTGTGTTACATTAAAGTGTTACACTAAGAAATTTTTTTGAAATGTTATATTAAAGTGTTACATTTAGAAAAAGTACACTAAGGAGTTTTTTTGTGTGTTACATTAGAATGTTACGCTGAAGAGTTTTTGTGTGTTATATTAGAGTGTTACACTAAGGATTTTTTTAGAGTATGATATT